TGAGGGACCACGAGATGGGATAAGTATGCACGAAGTGGGATCAGTGTCCACGAAATGGGTTCAGTGTCGAGGGGATGTGATGAGTGTCCACGGGATGGGATAAGTGTCCACGAGGTGGCTTAAGTGTCCACGAGATGGGATAAATGTCAACGAGTAGTGATGAGTGTCAACGAGATGAGATAAGTGTCAACGAGTAGGGATGAGTGTCAACGAGATGGGATTAGTGTCCACGAGGTGGTATGAGTATCCACGGTTTGGGATGAGTGTCCACGAGGTGGGGTGAGTGTCCACGAGGTGGTATGAGTGTCCACGGTTTGGGATGAGTGTCCATGGGATGTGATGAGTGTCCACGGGATGGGATGAGTGTCCACGGTGTGGGATCAGTGTCCATGGGATGGGATGAGAGTCTACGAGATGCGATAAATATGCACGAGGTGGGATCAGTGTCCACGAAATGGGTTGAGTGTCGAGGGGATGTGATGAGTGTCCACGGGATGGGATAAGTGTCCACGAGGTGGGTTAAGTGTCCACGAGATGGGATAAATGTCAACGAGTAGGGATGAGTGTACACGAGATGGGATGAGTGTCCACGGGGTGGGATGATTTTCCACGAGTTGGGATAAGTGTCCATGAGGTGGGATAAGTATGCACGAGTAGGGATGAGTGTCCACGAGATAGGTTGATTGTCCAGGGGATTGGATGAGTGTCCAAGAGGTGGGATAAGTGTCCAAAAGGTGGAATCCATCTCCACGAAGTGGGATAAGTGTCAAAGACTAGGGATGAGTGTATACGAGATATGATGTGTTTTCACGAAGTGGCATGAGTGTCCTCGGGATGGGATGAGCGTCCACGAGGTGGGATGAGCGTGAACGAGGTGGGATGTGTGTCCACGAGTAGTGATGAGTGTCCACGAGATGGGATGAGTGTCCACGAGATGGGATGAGTGTCCACGAGATGGGATGAGTGTCCACGGGGTGGGATGAGGGTCAACGAGGTAGGATGAGTGTCCAGAAGTAGGGATGAGAGTCCACGAGATGGTAAGAGTGTCCACGAGATTGGATGAGAGTCTACGAGATGGGATCTAAACCATCTATTGGCCATTCCAGAATGTTCCTTTGTTCAGTTTTAAAATAAAAATATATGTCAAAATATGTTTCGAAGCGTAGTCACCAGTTTGAAACTCGTTCGGTGAAGCTGCCAGGTGTGGTTGGACACAGTTTTCCACGACCTGTCCCCAGACCCAGGTGTACAACACATGCTGGCTTTTCCGCCACATCAATAAATTTCAATTTCAGAATACACCCTGCTAGGCAGAACGAAAGTATACACCCGCGTTTAATGATGGCTAAAACTGTAATAAACACGAAATGGTCATTCGATGGTGATGTTCACTTATACCAATTATACCAAAGTACACGATTAGTACCCTTGGGTAGTGGTTGCACATCGCTTAATCGCATATCGAGTAGGGATGGGTGTCCACGAGATGGGATGAGCGTCCACGGGGTGGGATAAGCGTCCAAAAGGTGGGATGCTTGTCCACGAGATGGGATGAGCGTCCACGAGGTGGGATAAGTGTGAACGAGTAGGGATGAGTGTTCACGATTTGGGTTGATTGTCGAGGGGATGAGAGGAGTGTCGAGGGGATGGGATGAGTGTCCACGATATGGGATAAGTGTCCAAGAGGGGGGATAAGTGTCCACGAGATGGGATAAATGTCAACGAGTAAGGATGAGTGTACACGAGATGGGATGAGTGTCCATGAGATGGGATAAGTGTTCACGGGGTGGGATGATTTTCCACGAGGTGTGATAAGTGTCCATGAGGTGGGATAAGTATGCACGAGTAGGGATGAGTGTCAACGAGGTGGGACAGGTGTCCAAAAGGTGAAACAAATGTGCTGTACTGTTGTACGTATATACACCCAGAAGGCTCAACCTATTATGATAAACGTGCTACCTATAGAAATGGTGTACTGATGTTCCAAGACGAGCTCCTGGATATTTTAAAACAGATCGATGACGTTTCATGTATTTTGGAGGGAGATTTTAACTCCAGAACAGGAACAGAACCCGACTTTGTGGAGACGGCATTTAGGATCATCTTAAAGGTAGTGATAACTCGTCTTGGGATTTCTTGATAGATCTTTTTGATTTACAGAGATACTCTGCTGATACTATTTTGAATAAGTTTGGTAAATGCTTGTTGAACCTATGCTCTGTCTTAAATATTCACATTATGAATGGTCGTTGTGGCAGTGACGCTGGTATTGGGGACTATACATGCATTAGTAGTACAGGGGCAAGTGTAAATGACTTTATTATCTCCACCGTACATATGTTTGACCTCAATAAAACATTTGACATAGACACACGTTACGAGTCGCAACATTTTCCATTAGCGATGTCTGTACGTACGTGTACGCTTCACTCAGACATCGATGGTTATCAGGATATGAATTGTACAAGTACATTTAGATTTGAATGGAGAATTGATAAAGAAGAAATATTTATTTGTAACTTATCTTCAGACAAGTTTGTATCACTTGTTGAAAAAGCAGCTGATGCCGTATTCACAAATATTGATGAAAGTATCGAGTTTATTAGAGAGGCATTTATATTTCTTGAAAAGAATTGAAAAATATTTGGAAGATAACATGAAATCGTCGAAAGAATTTTGGACAACCCTCGGAAAGCTAAATCCACATTATGAGTTTAAAATTAATATTGAAATTGATAAATGGTATGATTATTAAAATATGTTTAGTGGTTATGGTGATAGGGATCATACCTACTTTGAATTTTCAGATCAGGAAACATGTGACAATGACATAACTGCTACAATTCTTGACTCGCCAATTACAAGAGAGGAAATTCAAAAAGCTATCTACGATTTGAAAAACAGCAAGAGTTCCGGGATAGATGGTTTAATTCCAGAGTTTTTTAAACATTCTGTCAATATTCTACTCCCATGCCTTGAACTACTGTTTAATATGATTTTAGAAACGTTTTATTTCCCCAAAGAGTGGACTATCGGTGTGATTATTCCACTACATAAATCAGGATCACGTACCGATACAAACAACTATCGAGGAACTACCCTGCTGAGTGTTTTTTGCAAAATATTTCTTTCTATTATCAATAAAAGGCTCACCTTTTGGCCAGATTCATTAGATAAAATTTCGGTAGAACAAGCAGGTTTTAGACAAGGTTACTCAGCCACGGATAATATTTTCATTCTTAATGCGATTATTCACAAATACATGCAGAGAAAAGATGGAAAATTTATGCAATTTTTGTAGATTTGCAAAAGGCGTTTGATTCTGTAAACAAAATTATAATGCTGTCATTGTTCCTTTCAAATGGTGTGAGTAACAAAATGGGTAAATTATTATGCAATATTTATTAAAATGTGTAGTCATGTGTTAAAAATCGGGGAATATATGCTGATGTCTTCACATGTAACATTGGTGTATGCCAAGGCTGTATTCTTAGCCCCTTCCTGTTCTGTTTTTTCATAACCTGGCTACACAAATTATGGATAACTGTACGGGTGGCATCCAGCTGCATCCAGATATTGTTAAGATATTTCTGTTGATTTTTGCTGATATAGTTCTGTTCTCTAGAGCTATAAAAAATTTCCAGAATTTGATAGATCAAATGGAGCTATACTTTTCTAAATGTAAACTCCAAGTGAACATTGAGTAAACGAAAGTGTTGGTTTTTAAAAAAGGAATATAAGTAGGGAAAATGGTTCTTCAACTCACAACCATTACAAATTGTCACTTTTTGTAAATATCAGGGGGTAACCTTCACAGGCAGATTATCGCGGAATTACCACATCAGTAAGGCAGCAATGCAGGCAAAAAAGATTCCCATGGCAATCTTACAGAGGTTTAAAACTTTCCCTGATCTTTCATATAAAACCTTATCTTTCATATAGAAATATTTGATACAAATATTACTCCAATTCTTTTATATGGAGCAGAGGTCTGAGGTCATACTGAATACATAACTATTGAACTGGCCCATCTATAAGCTTGTAAACGATTCCTTGGCGTAAAGAACTGTACATCGAGTGTTATGGTATATGGTGAATGTGGGCGTGTACCACTTTACATATTTCAACATGTAAGAATTCTCAAGTATTGGTTCAAGATTCTTAAGATGCCTATTGATAGATTACCTAGAAAATGTTATAGTACGATGTTATTGTATGAAAAACATGGAATTCCCAATTGAGTATATGATGTAAAGTCGTTATTAAATGAATGCGGCTATGGGTATGTTTGGCATAATCAATGTATACCAAACAATCAAGATTCATTTTTAGTATCTATACACCAAAGACTTAAGGATATGTACTTACAAAAATGGTCATCGCATGTTTTAAATTCAGAAAAATGCAATGATTACAAGCTTTTTAAGACAACTATTTCCCCAGAACACTGTTTGTATGAATAAGTTTAGCACAATTTAGATGCAGCTCTCATAGACTTAGGATCGAAGTAGGCAGACATAGAAACAGAGCTAGAGAATTGAGAATATGTGAGCAATGTGGTTTAAATGTGATTGAAGATGAGTTTCATTTTCTGTTAGTTTGTCCAAAATACGACCACCTAAGAAAAAAATATATTGATCTGCCTTTTTATGTAACTACTCCCGAAAACGGAATTGTACTATGTAGCTGAGGCCTTTGAGTATGGAATACAACTTACCCTTATACCAATTCATCTCTCTCTCATCTCCCTCACCCCCTTCTCTCTCTCTCTCCCTCATCTCCCTCACCCCCTTCTCTCTCTCTCTCCCTCATCTCCCTCACCCCCCTTCTCTCTCTCTCTAGCTCTCTCTCTCTCTCAAAGGCACATGTATCGACCACTGATGTGAAATACTGACGTGAGGTCTCGCACAAATTGATGAATAGGTTTCATACTTTGTAATCAAATTAAAATATATTTTCCTATTAGGCTAGTTCATAACAAAAATCACAATACACATGAATCGTGTTCAAAAGGTTTATTGAATACAGATTTGACTCAATGCCTTCTACACATTTTATTGCTTGCTTTTCAACACGCAGTGGCGGTCTGTCTCCCTGAAATGAGAAGTATATGGTAAAGTCAATATCCTGACAATCCGGTTACTTCCTGTACAGACTGTTTAGTCTCCATGGTTTCACACTCACTTTTGTGTCTGCCTGTTCCTCGTGAAACTTTGTATTCGATAATAATATTTTTGCAACCATATTCTGTTTTCAGAAAAGGTTAAAACAAGAAATGTATGTTAAAGAAATACATGTAAATACATGAAAAACACCTTGAGAGTTGTATGATCTGTTTATCTTAACCGAGTGAGTGAGTATGGTTTTATGCCGCTTTAAGCAATATACCAGCAATATCACGACGAGGGACACCAGAAATTGACTTCACAGATTGTACCCATGTGGGGAATCCAAACAGGCCTAGGGCCTTCGACGTAAAGAGCAAACGCTTTAACCACAAGGCTTCCCCATCGCCCCTTATCTGATTTTGAACCCTGCCATCTACACATTAATTGTTAGTCTGTTTGCTGTTTAACGCGGGGTATATCTCGTGCCAAAATATAGAAGTACTATAATGGACACTATTAACATTATGAAAAAAGATTCCATACTAGAGGCATTCGATCATTCATAAATGTGTTTGTTTGTTTGTTCGTTCGTTCGTTCGATTATTTGTTGTTGTTTAAGGTCGCTCTCAGCAACATTCCAACTATATAACGGCGGTCTGTAAATAATCGTGTCCTGACCAGACAATCCAGTGATTGATATCATGAGCATCGATCCACACACTTGGGATACGATGCCATGCATCTACCAAGTCACCGAGCCTGACCACCTGATCCCGTTAGTCGCCTCCTACGACAAGCGCAGTCGCCTCTTACGACAATCATGGGTTGCTGAAGACCTATTCTTACCCTGATCTACACGGAGACAATCATGAGTTGCTGAAGACCTATTCTTACCCTGATCCACACGGAGACAATCATGAATTGCTGAAGACCTATTCCTACCCTGATCTACACGGAGACAATCATGAGTTGCTGAAGACCTATTCTTACCCTGATCTACACGGAGACAATCATGAGTTTCTGAAGACCTATTCTTACCCTGATCCACACAGAGACAATCATGAGTTGCTGAAGACCTATTCTTACCCTGATCTACACGGAGACAATCATGAGTTGCTGAAGACCTATTCTTACCCTGATCTACACGGAGACAATCATGAGTTGCTGAAGACCTATTCCTACCCTGATCTACACGGAGACAATCATGAGTTGCTGAAGACCTATTCCTACCAGGGTTATCACGGGTGCTACAACTCAATACTCGCTTGGTTAATACATCTACTATGATGATTAAAGGTAATATGATTGGAACTTATTCTCCTATCAAATAATGACACGAACCTGTGACACTTGTATGATTCTAACGATAAAATCTTACCCACTCTGCCAATTATGGGCTGAAAAAGACAAAAACTTGTTTATTATATGTATCACTTCAATGTTTTTTTGGTTGTTTAACGCCGCACTCAGCAACATTCCAGCTATAAACAAAGGAGTCTGGACCAGACAATCCAGTGATTGGCATCGTGAGCATCGATCCAAGCAATTTGGTTATCGAGCCCGACCAGCAGATTCTGTTAGTCGCCTCTTACGACAAGCATGGGTTTCTGAAGACCTATTCTAACCCTGATCTTCACGGGGACAAGCATGGGTTGCTGAAGACCTATTCTTACCCTGATCTACACGGGGACAAGCATGGGTTGCTGAAGACCTATTCTAACCCTGATCTACACGGGGACAAGCATGGGTTGCTGAAGACCTATTCTAACCCTGATCTTCACGGGGACAAACATGGGTTGCTGAAGACCTATTCTGACCCTGATCTTCACGGGGACAAGCATGGCTTGCTGAAGACCTATTCTAACCCCGATTTTCACGGGGACAAACATGGCTTGCTGAAGACCTATTCTAACCCCGATTTTCATGGGTGTCGGTATATGTTGGTATTTGGAAGGCTATAACAAAGCAAGAGGTATGGACACTGAGCGATACCGTCGTCAACGGATCAAATTAACTTAAAACACGACTATGGCTGAATAAAAATAAGAGGATTTGGACTACATCTTCCTTAAACTGGAACAAAACTGTTCACATATTCATTTGTTTTCCGTCAACAGGTCCTGCGCGTGGTTACCATGATGTCTACTCGTAGTTCTGTGATGTACATAGGATTAATAATTAACTGGTTTTGTAACATTCTGAAAATGGTATAAGAATGGTATATCCTGTTGTGCCGTGTTCCATGTTTTGACATGTCTCCTGGGCTATGTGATGTTGCTGTTGTGATTTAACTTACCAGTCTGGTTCGAATCCGAGACTCGGACACTCACTGGGGTTGGACGTGGTGTACTCCAGAATGCCCGCCGACTCCAAGGATGTGGCGTTGAAAATGCCGAGATCGCTTAAAGAAGATAAAACATGTCTGTTACAACCATCATAATCATTTCCCATCCAAGATCAAATGGGGTTTGACATAACAGATCTTAGGTACTCAATGGGTAACCGGTTGAAACCACAAATACATCCTAGTTAGTCGGATGGTCTGGAAGAGAACTTGAATGATTTGGCTTTATTTTCGATGATCAAACCAAAAAGTATCATGATATGTCATATCAGGATTTTGGTGACTGTATCCGACCAGATATGTAAGTAATTCGTTTGATTCTGTACACAATGTAGCATTGTTCTTCATTTCATTGAGGGGCGGTCGGGTAGCCTAGTGGTTAAAGTGATCACTTGTCACACCGAAGACCCGGGTTCGATTCCCGACATTGGTAAAATTTGTGAAGCCCATTTCTGGTGTCTCCCGCCGTGATATTGCTGGAATAGTGCTTAAAGCGGCGTAAAACCATACTCACTCACTCACTCACTCACTCACTCACTCACTCTATCCTTACACTGACCTGACACCAGGGTAGGCCAGGTATATCAAAGAAGAACAGCGGTTGATCTTGACGTCCCCGGATGGGTCGCCCGGAATGCAGTACAGCAGCTTGAAACAGTTGGTCGCAATGTCGTAGATCCACACACCACCGGCAACATCAATAAACACGATCCTGTCTGTCGAAGAAAACAAATAACATTTTGCGTTCATCACCACTTCATCACAAAGAATGACATGCAACATGTTGTAGATATAGCTAGTTATCTCAGCATGGATTTGCCGCTTACCCCTTTTTCTCAACACAATTTCAAATGAATGTTTTGTTTGTTTGTTTGTTGTTTAAGGCCACACTCAGCAATGTTCCAGCTACATGACGGCGTGCTGTTAATACTCCGAGCATGGACCAGACTCTGTTGAGTCTTACTAGGTCTTCAGCAACCCATGCTTGCCGTAAAAGTGACTATGCGTATTGTAAGAGGCGACTAACGGGATCGGGTGGTCAGGCTCGCTGACTTGGCTGATGCATGTCATCGTATCCCAATTGCGTGGATCGAGGTCAATCACTGGATTTTCTGGTCCAGATTCGATTATTTACAGACCGCCGTCATATAGCCTGAATATTGCTGAGTGCGGCGTTAAACAACAAACAAATAAAGAAGGTTGGGGAATATGTTCCACTGTACGTGGTATATGTTTTGTTATACGTACTATCGTCAATGACGTCAAACGATGTAATGGACATTGAAAACTTCAGTTTGGTCTGCAAATCTCCACCTGTCTCGTTGACGCACTTGATCTCCTTGCAGTCGCTGAAGTACACTCGCCTTAAAGAGAAGATGATTCCTTGCAGTCAACATGGAGTATTGTTTATTTGCCTGACAAACGTATGCCAAATTTCATTTGAGGATACTTCAGACGTTTTTGTTTTGAAACATCACCCACCAATGAGCTTGGTGTCTTATATTTATAAGGTCAAGCACCTAATCAGATGTATATATTGAACAATCTGACCAGGTGTTGCCATTGACCTTGCTGGTCTATACTTGGCAATTTTCCAAGCTTTCGCTTGAACTTTTAACTGTTAATATGTAAAACTTGAATAACATTACTCAATCTATTTACTAAGATAAGGGACATTCACGAGCAGAGATGGTAAATATGGTAAATAACATCGCCCTCGCCTTGGTGCCCTGGCCCCAATACTCACTGCAGTGGGCCTCACGAACCATAAGGCTCTATGTTTTAAAAGACAGGTTTGGATGTTTCAAGAGAAATAAACCAATCCGAGAAAAGGAGTATGAGAAAAATATTATTACATTTTCTTTCCCACTTGTATCACTGGTGAACGGCTGATCCAGTTGTCTAAGGCGCCGCAAGTTGCTGTTCAGAGTTGCGTCCCTTGGGCACGCCAGAAACCTATGATTGTTGATTCGAATCCCGGTTCGCCCCGATTATGTTTCTAGGTTTGTCAGCACCATACCCATGCTCGTGGGTTTCACCGAAGTGGTAAAGTCTGAGACCTGCAACACTTCGGTCTTTCCTCCCACATTAAGCAGACACGCCGTGATATAACTGGAATACTGTTCAAAGCACCGTTCAATCCATCACACTCACTCACTCACTTGACCTACACTGCATATAATTAATCTTAAATTGAATAATTAAGGAACTAGACCGTTATGAACAGTAATTTTGTGTACAATACAGAAACATAACTGCGATACCAACCCATCAAAAGCTCTGACTCTCCCAGCCTCGCAGGAAATCTCGGTAAGAAGCGACAAAGTGCCGCCAGATGTAGGAATGGACGCAAGTTGATCGAGACCCGTGTTGTTATAATCATTAATGGCGACATACAGCAGATCATCCACGACAGCGATACCAGTACCGCTTCCAAACTCTTCCTCTAGACAGAGACAAACATATAATACACAAATATAATAGTGTTATATGGAAGCATACAGTCAACATTTGTAGTTTAACGGGCGGGTTGGGTAGACTAGTTGTTAAAGCGTTCGCTCGTCACGCCGACGACCCAGGTTCGATTCCGCAAATGGGTACAATGTGTCAAGCCCATTTCTGGTGTCCCCCACCGTGATATTGCTGGAATATTGCTAAAAGCAGCGTAAAACCATACTCACTCACTCCTGTATACGCGTACTGCTATAACAAGAAGCTTCAACCATCCATAGAAGAAAATGAAAATGGTGTGAAAATTCTAGATTGGTTTCCGCATTATGGTTTAACCTCTTAGTGTTTGATTGTTGACGTTTCTGTATTACTGGCAGGACATTAACGAGGTACTGAGGGTGTAACGACTTACGGAGTAGTAGGGTGTTTGAGATGATCCTATCCGTGGTCCTGGACTCGCAAACAAACCGGAGGGGCGGAAACGAAAGATAGTATATGCTGTAACTTGATGCATTGTCTCCGCTTACTGTAAAAGCGCTGACATTATAAGTCACATCCAAACTCGGCAGGATCGTCCCCACTGGGTCAACCTGAGCAATGTCGGTCCGATAGCATCCACCAACAAGTGCGGCACATCCTTCAACTGTAAAACATCGTTAATCTTGTGATTGGGAAATTTGTTTTTATTTTCCCAATAATACGACATTATTTGAGAGGAAAGTGGCGGAAATATCAATATAGAGAAGGACAAAAGATTGGTTTTAAATATGAACTTTTCAGGGCTTTAATCTGTAATCAGGTACAGTCTTCCAATAGAAAAAGTATGTACATATGTATTGTAAAACGCAAAATCAACTTGGCATGAGAAATAATGTGATATCTAAAAGTACGACGATGGACAATATAACATTTTGCAAATAGATTTCATACCAGAGGTCTGCCTCGTCATTCAGAAATATGTTTGTTTGTTTGTTTGTTGTTTAACGCCGCAATTATCCAGTTATATCTGGTCTGTAAATAATCGAGCCTGGACCAGACAATAGAGTGACTGACATCATGAGCATCGGTCTACGCTGCTGACATTCATTTACCAAGATAGCGAGCCTTACCACCCAGTCACTTAAGTCGCTTCTTACAAGCATGGATTGCTGGAGGTCAGTTCTATCCCGGATCTTAACGGGGCACAAGCATGGATTGCTGGAGACCAATTCTAACCCGGATCTTAACGGGGGACAAGCATGGATTGCTGGAGGTCAATTCTATCCCGGATCTTAACGGGGGACAAGCATGGATTGCTGGAGACCAATTCTATCCCGGATCTCAACGGGGGACAAGCATGGATTGCTGGAGACCAATTCTAAACCGGATCTTAACGGGGGACAAGCATGGATTGCTGGAGACCAATTCTTACCCGGATCTTAACGGGGGACAAGCATGGATTGTTGGAGACCAATTCTATCCCGGATCGTAACGGGGGACAAGCATGGGTTGTTGGAGACCAATTCTATCCCGGATCTTAACGGGGGACAAGAATCGGTTGTTGGAGACCAATTCTATCCCGGATCTTAACTGGGGACAAGCATGGATTGCTGGAAACCAATTCTAACCCGGATCTTAACGGAGGACAAGCATGGATTGTTGGAGACCAATTCTAACCCGGATCTTAACGGGGGACAAGCATGGATTGTTGGAGACCAATTCTATCCCGGATCTTAACGGGGGACAAGCATGGGTTGTTGGAGACCAATTCTAACCCGGATTTTAACGGAGGACAAGCATGAATTGTTGGAGACCAATTCTAACCCGGATCTTAACTGGGGACAAGCATGGATTGCTGGAGACCAATTCTAACCCGGATCTTAAAAGGGGACAAAAATGGGTTGCTTGAGACCAATTCTTACCCGGATCTTAACGGGGGACAAGCATGGATTGTTGGAGACCAATTCTAACCCGGATCTTAACGGGGGACAAGCATGGGTTGTTGGAGACCAATTCTAACCCGGATCTTAACGGGGGACAAGCATGGATTGCTGGAGACCTATTCTTACCCTGATATTCACGGGGACAAACATGGGTTGCTGAAGACCTCATCTACCCTGATATTCAATGGGACAAACATGCGTTTCTGAAGACCTTTTCTAACCCTGATATTCACGGGGACAAGCATGGGTCGCTGAAGACCTATTCTAACGCTGATCTTCACGGGGACAAAATTGGGTTGCTGAAGACCTATTCTAATCCTACTATTCACGGGGACAAACATGGGTTGCTGAAGACCTAGCTTAACCCTACTATTCACGGGGACAAACATGTGTTTCTGAAGACCTATTCTAACCCTGATATTCACGGGGACAAACATGGGTTGCTGAAGACCTTTTCTAGCCCTGCTATTCACGGGGACAAACATGGGTTGCTGAAGACCTATTCTAACCCTGATATTCACGGGGACAAGCATGGGTTGTATTACGAAATACAATTCATACAAGCATAAAGCTTGATAAAGTGAAAGGTATATATGACTGAATTTTAACTAGACAGTTGAACATTTCTTGTCTGGATCGTGTTTTTCTCCAGTGTACTGAATTTGTCAGTTCAAATGTTCTAATGACTGTCAGATTAAAATAATTTTTATGGCCTTTCATAGATCAATCTGGTCTCTTTTGTCAACATGAAGGCGGTTCAGGTGAACGCTCTGTCCGATTTTGCCTTAATTCGTTTCTCTACTTACGTGCAGGACAGTCCGTTGATTGATCCCCGATCAATGCTGTGAGATTGTTGATAAGATCGCAAAGTGTGGTGTTGAGGGCTTCGAGATCACTTTCAAAGCAATCCCCGGGAGCTGAAACAGAAATATACATTAATATCGTTATTTATTTAAAACCATCACTTTGTGTTTGTCCCGGTTTATTGACGATACAATGTTGTCATCAGCCGTACATGTATTGGAACTTGGAACTTAAACACACCTGTAAATATGGAAACATCTACAATTGTAAACAGTTCAGCTTTAAATAAGTTAGATGTCATCATGTTCTCTGTAAAAGTCCAGTGCTTCTCTTATGTGCAATGGCATATTGATTCCACAATGGTCTCAAATAATTATGTTTCTTTGTGACATCACACCGAATGAATGAATTACATAATGCTGATGGAATTATATAAACTAAAGATAAAATAAAGTATACACTCTTCAAAAAAAGAAACGCACAGGTAGATTTTTAGTAAATAAATGTATTGTACCTAATTAAGTCGATATGTTTAATTTAATATCATAGATACATTTTGGAGCTCGATAATCACATGTTGTCGTTGTACAAAGGCACTGAAAACTGTTCATTGTCACATAAGGTCACAAGGTTGCGCTGAACTCGTGTGACCGCACCGGGCAGCAATCACGCACCTGCTTCTCCTCAGCACTGGCTGGTGTACGAATTCTGTTCTACCACTACCACAAGTTACGAATGCCATAACTTGCACGTGCATTTTGCTTTACTGTTCCTCCATGACAATTGTGAACAAGTATGAAAACAATGCCGTTTAAGGCATCGCAAATCGACAATGGTTGCGTTTTGACGCACCGTTTGTCGAATATCAGGCTACCAACATTTCCAATTTAAATACCGGATTTTTTGTGTAGTCAGGTTCAATGAACTACATACTACCTGTGCGTTTCTTTTTTTTGAAGAGTGTATTTGCATGTGCTTGAGACGGGTGCCACCGCTGGGACAAGATACGCAAAACACCATGCGAACACCTGGTATTATCACTATTTGTTAGTGATTCATAAACACGTGGTGTAGTCGGAATCGTACAATCGACTATGGAAAGGATTTTGTCACTTTTTTGGGAAAACATTTGTTTTTTAACTCTGTACACCACCATCCCACACTGCAAAGTTAAGGGAAAACTGATCAAAGGGGCATTTCTTTATAGCCGTTTTGGCCTAGAATTCAACTTAATCTTCAGGTTTGTCATATTATGGGGAGGTTTCTTGGCAGGATAAAGCCAACGGATGAAAACGGTACCCGTTGGGATCACATAGAAATAGAGATGTAGATATGAGGTAGGTACTACTTTCAGTGTCATCGTGTTGTTTGCACCCTTACAATACACCGCCAACATGTTCTCTTGATTGTCATATTAGCCTAATCCTTCCGTTTCCTTTTCCATGCATTGCCATCACTCGATACCTCTTTGTATTTCTGTAATCAGATGTTATTTTCTAATATCCCCTACTTATTTTAGAGTGTTTAGATCAAGAGTTCAACAGTCACTTTGCGCATACGCGAATTCAAATGTAAATACTGAATCCTGAGATACAAGTGCTCCTCAATTGTTTGATAGGCATTTCTTAGAAGTTGACGGATGACAAGGTAGACACAATTTTATGGATAACAACTTCTTTAATGCTGTAAAAAGCGACGTTTCGGTATAGATCCATATAGCGTTGTCAAACGAGTGCTCCTAAGGCTAGAAAATATAGCTGAACTAAAGAAAAGCTATCAGATGCAGATCGCCTTTGTGGTCTAGTCGTAGATTGTCCGCCCGGAGAGCGATAGGTCCGGGGCTCGATCGCCGGCCGCGTCATTTTATAAGACGTTATAATACTTGTACTTGTTGTTACCCTGTCTGGCGCTCGGCATTAAGGTCGGCTCGGCAATAGACATCACGTTGTAGGTTTAGATTAGATAAATTATGTAATGCTTTATAGATCGTTTTCAAAAAATGCCATTTACTTACTCTGACATGGACACTGTTCATCGGTGACATCAAAGATACTTTGGAAATCCGCCTTCGCGGTTTCTAGTTGAGTCAAGAGGCCAGCGAGCTTGTTGGGGAGCTCATCTGGTCCAGGCGGACATCCCAGTGATGGCGCAAGGACAGCCAGGAGAACTATGAAGAGACCGTTGCCGAACATCGTCATGTTGATTCCGATTGACTTTCCTCCTCACCCTCAAGAGTTATTATAGGCAACCGAAATTCTCGTGGACCAGTAGATACCTGTCACGTATCCAGGTGCGTCACCCACGTGGTAATATCTACCACGCTGTATGTAATTGATTTTGACAAAGATTTGTGCAAACCGCAACATATTTTTACGAATTGAAACATATGGTAAGGTTAAGGTTTTGTCTGTTTGACATATATTTTGAATTGGTTGAAGGACATCATCAAACCTTCGCGTAGAGCGGATTGGATATCAAAAGTTCAGACTCATGAGTCTCGGATCTAAGGGCAGAAATGATCCTTGAGAAAAATGGTTTGTCCTATTTAGATTATTCATCCCTTACAAGAGAAGCGTGAAGACTTCTCGCTATCGCCCGCCTTGATATAGCGGGAATAATGCCAATGCCGCGAAAACCAACACTTACAAATGTCTTATTATTGCAGCTTTATATTGAAACGAGATTCTAATCATGGACGTGGAACCTGATAAAGCATGTTCCCCTTCATGTCGAGCAGAGCGCCTCCATGGCTTCGTTGTAGTGCGTTCGCACGGAGAGCGAAAAGTCCGGGGTTCGATCCCCGACCTTGTCATACCGAAAAAAAACGTTAAAAGATCGTACTTGTTGATACCCTGTCAGGCGCTCGGCATTGAGGGACTCAAACAAGGACTGGTCGGCCCGGAGTCAGTATACTGTGTCTGAGTGAGGTTTTCATGTTAAACTGGCGGGCTTGGAGTCAGTATACTGTGTCTGAGTGAGGTTTCCATGTTAAACTGCAGCATGGTATCTCAGTGTGCTATAATGTGCAATTATCTTGGACGCGACGTTACCCTCAGTTACCCTCAGGTGATCTCAGGTGAACATTCCATTTACTGAATATGACACATAACTTGTCAGTAACAACGGGTCAGTATTTCATATCAGTGGGCTATGCCTGTACCTTACCCAGGTCTATCTCACGTCAGTATTTCATATCAGTGAGCTATGCCTGTCCCTTACCCTGGTCTGACTCACGTCAGTATTTCATATCAGTGGGCTATACCTGTCCCTTACCCAGGTCTATCTCACGTCAGTATTTCATATCAGTGGGCTATGGCTGTACCTTACCCAGGTCTATCTCACGACAGTATTTCATATCAATGAGCTATGCCTGTACCTTACCCAGGTCTATCTCACGTCAGTATTTCATATCAGTGAGCTATACCTGTGCCTGACCTAGTTTTATCACACGTCAGTATTTCATATCAATGAGCTATGCCCGTACCTTACCCAGGTCTACCTCAGGTCAGTATTTCTTATCAGGGGGCTATACCTGTACCTTACCCAGGTCTATCTCACCTCAGTATTTCTTATAAGTGAGCTATACCTGTACCTTACCCAGGTCTATCTCACGTCAGTATTTCATATCAGTGGGCTATACCTGTACCTTAACCAGGTCTATCTCACGTCAGTATTTCATATCCGTGAGCTATACCTGTACCTTACCCAGGTCTACCTCACGTCAGTAATTTCATATCAATGAGCTATAACTGTACCTTACCCAGATCTATCTCACGTTAGTATTTCATATCAGTGATCTATAATTGTACCTTACCCATGTCTACTTCACGTCAGTATTTCATATCAGTGAGCTATACCTGTACCTTACCCAGGTCTACCTCACGTCAGTATTTCATATCAATGAGCTATGCCTGTCCCTTACCCAGGTCTACCTCACGTCAGTATTTCATATCAGTGAGCTATGCCTGTACCTTACCCAGGTGTATCACACGTCAGTATTTTATATGATTGAGCTATACCTGTCCCTTACCCAGGTCTATCTCACGTCAGTATTTCATATCAGTGGGCTATACCTGTACCTTACCCAGGTCTGACACACGTCAGTATTTCATACCAGAGGGCTATACCTGTACCTTACCCAGGTCTGTCTGACGTCAGTATTTCATATCAGTGGGCAACACCTGTACCTTACCCAGGTCTATCTCACCTCAGTATTTCATATCAATGAGCTATGCCTGTACCTTACCCAGGTCTGTCTCACGACAGTATTTCATATCAGTGGGCTATACCTGTACCTACCCAGGTCTATCTGACGTCAGTATTTCATATCAGTGGGCTATACCTGTCCCTTACCCAGGTCTGACACACGTCAGTATTTCATACCAGAGGGCTATACCTGTACCTTACCCAGGTCTACCTCACGTCAGTAATTTCATATCAATGAGCTATACCTGTACCTTACCCAGATCTATCTCACGTTAGTATTTCATATCAGTGATCTATAATTGTACCTTACCCATGTCTACCTCACGTCAGTATTTCATATCAGTGAGCTATACCTGTACCTTACCCAGGTCTACCTCACGTCAGTATTTCATATCAATGAGCTATGCCTGTACCTTACCCAGTTCTACCTCACGTCAGTATTTCTTATAAGTGGGCTATGCCTGTACCTTACCCAGGTCTATCTCACGTCAGTATTTCAACTCAGTGGGCTATACAGGTACCTTACCCAAGTCTATCTCACGTCAGTATTTCATATCCGTGAGCTATACCTGTACCTTACCCAGGTCTACCTCACGTCAGTAATTTCATATCAATGAGCTATACCTGTACCTTACCCAGGTCTACCTCACGTCAGTATTTCTTATCAGTGAGCTATACCTGTACCTTACCCAGGTCTATCTCACGTCAGTATTTCATATCAGTGGGCTATGACTGTACCTTACCCAGGTCTATCTCACCTCAGTATTTCATATCAGTGGGCTATGCCTGTACCTTACCCAGGTCTATCTGACGTCAGTATTTCATATCAGTGGGCTATACCTGTCCTTTACCCAGGTCTATCTGACGTCAGTATTTCATATCAGTGGCTATGCCTGTACCTTACCCAGGTCTATCTCACGTCAGTATTTCATATCAGTGAGCTATACCTGTCCCTAAACCAGGTCTGACACACGTCAGCATTTCATATCAGTGAGTTATACCTGTACCTTACCCAGGTCTACCTCACTTCAGTATTTCATATCAATGAGCTATGCCTGTCCCTTACCCAGGTCTACCTCACGTCAGTATTTCATATCAGTGAGCTATACCTGTACCTTACCCAGGTGTATCACACGTCAGTATTTTATATGAGTGAGCTATACCTGTCCCTTACCCAGGTCTATCTCACGTCAGTATTTCATATCAGTGGGCTATACCTGTCCCTTACCCAGGTCTGACACACGTCAGTATTTCATACCAGAGGGCTATACCTGTACCTTACCCAGGTCTCTCTGACATCAGTATTTCATATCAGTGGGCAACACCTGTACCTTACCCAGGTCTATCTCACCTCAGTATTTCATATCAATGAGCTATGCCTGTACCTTACCCAGGTCTATCTCACGTCAGTATTTCATATCAGTGGGCTATGCCTGTACCTTACCCAGGTCTATCTCACGTCAGTATTTCATATCAGTAAGCTATGCCTGTCCCTTACCCAGGTCTATCTCACGTCAGTATTTCATATCAGTGAGCTATGCCTGTACCTTACCCAGGTCTGTCTCACGACAGTATTTCATATCAGTGGGCTATACCTGTACCTACCCAGGTCTATCTGACGTCAGTATTTCATATCAGTGGGCTATACCTGTCCCTTACCCAGGTCTGACACACGTCAGTATTTCATACCAGAGGGCTATACCTGTACCTTACCCAGGTCTACCTCACGTCAGTAATTTCATATCAATGAGCTATACCTGTACCTTACCCAGATCTATCTCACGTCAGTATTTCATATCAGTGATCTATCATTGTACCTTACCCATGTCTACCTCACGTCAGTATTTCATATCAGTGAGCTATACCTGTACCTTACCCAGGTCTACCTCACGTCAGTATTTCATATCAGTGGGCTATGACTGTACCTTACCCAGGTCTATCTCACCTCAGTATTTCATATCAGTGGGCTATGCCTGTACCTTACCCAGGTCTACCTCACGTCAGTATTTCTTATCAGTGAGCTATACCTGTACCTTACCCAGGTCTATCTCACGTCAGTATTTCATATCAGTGGGCTATGACTGTACCTTACCCAGGTCTATCTCACCTCAGTATTTCATACCAGAGGGCTATACCTGTACCTTACCCAGGTCTGTCTGACGTCAGTATTTCATATCAGTGGGCAACACCTGTACCTTACCCAGGTCTATCTCACGTCAGTATTTCATATCAGTGGGCTATACCTGTCCCTTACCCAGGTCTATCTCACGTCAGTATTTCATATCAGTGGGCTATGCCTGTACCTTACCCAGGTCTATCTCACGTCAGTATTTCATATCAGTAAGCTATGCCTGTCCCTTACCCAGGTCTATCTCACGTCAGTATTTCATATCAGTGAGTTATACCTGTCCCTTACCCAGGTCTACCTCACGTCAGTATTCCATATCAGTGGGCTATGACTGTACCTTACCCAGGTCTATCTCACCTCAGTATTTCATATCAGTGGGCTATGCCTGTACCTTACCCAGGTCTATCTGACGTCAGTATTTCATATCAATGAGCTATGCCTGTACCTTACCCAGGTCTATCTCACGTCAGTTTTTCATATCAGTGAACTATACCTGTACCTTACCCAGGAGTGAATGAAAGATAAATAATGGATAATAATAAGAGGGTATAGTTTTTCGGGAGTGGTTACAGAACCGTTTAATATTCTAATTTACGTAACATGAACATTGAAATATGTCCATGTCTAACATATTGCTAAAGGTTATTTTAATGGAAAAGAGTGTCAACGAGTTTCCACGAGTTGGAATGACTGTCGATGAGGTGTGATTAGTGTCCATGATGTTGGATGAGAGCATAGACATATTGCTATATGTATTTTTTAATGGAAAAGTGTGCTTCATCTTGAAACTAGAAACCTATGTATCTATCAGGCAATACGATATTCCTCAGGTGATGTGTGTCGTCAATTAGAAGGGATGAGTCAACATGAGGTGGGATGATTGGCGACGAGGTCGGATAAGT